ATCTTTCTTCTATCATTGACAGTCCCTCTAGGTTGTGGGCTGCTTGCCTGTGTTCCTGAGAAGCATCTACGGTACCAGTCTATAGAGTGTGTTTTCTTTAGTGAATTACCGGTATGTTTACCGGTAATAAACTTGCACTGTTTTATGTATATGTTTGATTACATACAGCCTTGTGACAGTTTTCCTGCATGTCATAAGCATTTGAATATAAATTAAAATGTTAAAATCAAATCTGATATTGTTTTACCTTTTATTTGGTGTGTGGAAGGTGTGCGGAAGAGGGGGTAGTCGTATACGGCGAGTATATAACAAACTCTGTATTTTGAGTGGAAATGTTAGGGGGTCGTCTTATACGCCCAGTCGTCTTATACGCCAGCAAATACGGTACCATTCTTATTTTGTATTACTTATTCCCTTGAATTTCTTTATTTTTACCTTTGATGCATATATTCTAAAGTAAATCATTACTTAGTTTCATCACTTTAAGAACACTGTATAAATGGAATCTTCTTTCTTATTTCATCCAACATTATGTTTTTACCATGCATATAAAAAAGGGCCCACCATATGTGTATATTCCAGAATCAAGAGCAAAACCACTCAGGAGCTAAAAGCGATGACTGCTAACAGCATTGAGTACCACAGCACCCGGATTATGGTTTCCCGCTGAACTGAATGAGCTCCTTTGAAAAATGGCTGATTCCAGATTTGCGACAAGAAATGTACAAAAGATGAACTTTGCACATCTTATGCCAGAAATTAGAAATAGGAATTATAATAAATAGGGATCATGACACAGAAACACTGATAACACAACCACAATAATACATCATAAGAAAGAAAACTATAGACAAATACTCCTTAGGAATACAGAGCAAGAAAATACTAGAAAACAAACCCCAGGAATTTATCCCAAGAATGCAAGGCTGTTTTAACATATAAAGTTCAATGTAATAAACTATATTAGAATACAGGATAACAATCACATGATCATCTCAAAAGAATGAAGAAAAGAATTTGACAATTTCTAATAACTTTTCATGATAAAAACATTCAACTAACTAGAGATAGAGAAGAACTTCCTCAACCTAATAGAGGGACTCTATGAAAAACCCACAGCTAACATCATCTTTAATTAATGCTTTCCCTCTCAGAC